AATGAAGAGTACACCAACAGCGGGTTACAATGTTTGTAAAGCCAAACTTTCTGATATCTCTCACGTGACCTGACTTTCAGTTGGATTAAACATTTATAGGTTGCAGTCCAACTTTTTTGAAAGTCTGTATTTGTACTTGCGCAACATTTAACAATTGATTCTCTTTCAACCTTAATATAGTGAAAGTACGTAATGCGGGCACTTATTTTGGTACGGAGGGAGTATAAAATTTTCAAGGTAGAGTGCATTTTATAACGAAGCAAATTTTCCGTTCAACCGGTTCAAGTTCGGCTCTTTTTAATCATATTTTCAGAAATTTACGATCTTGCATGAAGGTCTAATTATAATTATTTGAAGATGACGACGATTATACGTCGAAAATGATAACGAATACTTTCGGAGGGAAAGTCGATGCATTTTTATGCTACATAAATTCCACTGTGTTGTTTACTTGAGGAAACAGAAAACTCGAATGCAAGCTTTTCAGTTGTACTTCGACGATTCGCCTGTAAATTATACTCTTGGTCATTCGGAACATTCTCTGAGCCAATGATTCCAGTGTGATTACTTTTGACACGTGCGAAATTTCACTGTATTTCCCCCCATATATTTCACGGATATTTCTTACTGTTTCTACGACTGTAATTTTCCTCCGAAACTTGGAAAGAAAATATGCATCGTGACAAGAAGCAGAAGAATAATTAGAATTAATAAAAGAATAATTACAAATGAATTATGCAGCGTAAGGATATGAAAACGTCCTACCGGAAACGCACGAACTTTCTACAAACTTTCAAACTTTCGAAGGTACTACGTATATTATATCTGACGAAAATTGCATTGCATCTTCGACAAGCAGGTAAAATCTTGATTCCATGTAATACTTGTAATGAAAAACTGTTTGTTTGATTTTAGCAACACATTTTGCTTGCGGTTAATTATTTTAATTGTTTAGTAAAATGCGATTAACTCTCCGGGCAGTTTTAAATTTAAACACGTTGGAAATATTTTTATCTTTGAATTTATTTTATTTTTCACGATTTTCTCTTTCTGACGAAGTGAAGTTTACCAAGGAAAAATCACGACCCGGTAGTGTGAAATATTTTTACTTCACTCGTAGCAGATAATAAACGAATAAGTTTATATCCGGATGCATATTTTAAAAAATTATCAGTTTCACTGTCCCAGATACATATCTGTGACGCACCGATGTTCAAATCGTCTATTTAGAACATTTGTAAAAAAAATACACACCAAATTACGAAAATTTGACACTGAAGAATTTGATTTTGAAATGTCTTAATTGCTACGTGAAATGTATCAATTAATTCGAGATTTCCAAGCGAAACTTTCATATGCTTCAGAATATTTCCGCAAGTGTAACAATTTGCGACATCTGTCACAAATATTTTGGGGAGTGTAGTAACAAGGATCGACGAAAGGTTCTCAGGAGACAGCTCTTAGAGTTAGAGAAATAATTAGGCCACGCGTCGGAGGAACTGGACGGCCTTGTAAACGCGCGGCGACGATCCTCCGCGTTTGTTCGATTATCGGCGATCGAGATCTCCTGTTTACCGATCGATTAATAATCCTAGTTTTCTATTCGCAGTAATGCGTTTTGCATGCACGTCACCGCGGGACGTTGATTAATCGGTAATTTATACCGCGACACAAGAATCGCGGATTTTTCTTCTCTTTCAATTACGCGCCGTCGTATATCTGGCGAGAGATATATCCAGCTTGAGAATCAATCGGTGAGAACGAGTTTCACCGCGTAGTTGGCGCACTGCCACTGATACTAGTTAATCCCTGCGTTAGACAACCAAAGTGTGCAAACACCAGGTGTAGATTTCGGTGTGCTTGGGTGAAAATATACGATATATATATATATATATATATATATATATATATATATATATATAT